CCGATTCTTATTGCGCTTATAAGCGTTATAAGGGTCGGCCGATCCTTATGAAGTATGGAGATACCCTAAGAGTTATAAGGATCGAAAGTTTTAATCGGCCGATTCTTATAAAGTATGAAATCACCCTTAAGGTATTCTCGTACTTTATAAGGATGATTCAAAGTGGCCTATCCTCATAAGCACAGTAATGGTCTTCCGATTGACAGTGCGGCGCTTGGCGCGGCGTCTTAGCCAAGTATCATTTTGACTAGAGTTCGGCACTTTCTCCGGGGCACTTTTCGACTCTTGAGAATTCAACACACCTAAAGATAGAAGAAATAAAAGCGCGGAAAGGTGAAGTTGAGCTGACGCTAATGGTATTCAAATGTGACGCCGTAATGCAACCAGCATCCTCGATCAGCCGATCTCCACTACGCTACAAGAGCATCTCCATATCTCATGAGGATCGACCAATCGAGGGAGTGGTGCGATTGCAATGCGGCAGTAGCCAAATATCGAGCTAAGCCGGAAATTGGGTACCACTTCTTCACCCATTCTTTGCACATTGCTAACGACTTTCGAAAACTTTAACATAGCCTGAACAAAAAAAATCAAGCCAAAATCTTGTTAAAAAAGTGCGGCAAATTGGAATCAAGCCTGACGGTTATTGTAACCAAAGTCGTATTTACTATGGCGCTGCAACGAAACGCAGTGCAATCTCGATCAGCCGATCTTTATGATGTATGTAGGTGCCCTTACAGCTATTTCATAAATTTGATTTTTATATTCTTATCTTCACTGCCTTATCCGAGATATCTTAGAAAACGCTATGGTCGTGACGTTTGCGGATGCTCAAAACACTTTCGTTGACCGCTTGCCTCAGCCGATTGCTGGTGATTTCTCTCATGCGGTTAGTCTGACTTGACCACCAAAGATTTGTGTCATCAAGTCAACTTTGCAGAACAGTGGAAATGCTGGGAGAAACAGTTTTCCTTGTGATGTCCTTCCTGAAAATCCCTACGTAAAGTCGGATGAAGAGGCCCTTGAAAGTGCAGGGAAAGAGTCAAGTTTAGTACAAAAACGAGGGAGTCCAAAAGAGTTGCGCGACATTATGGAACAATCAATGGATCGCTTAGGAAAGGAGGACAATGCAAGTAATTTTGTGGGTTTTACTGTTTTTTATTGATAGCTTCCCTTCATACCACGTTTATGTACCCCAACGACTTCAGGGCTATTATATGCAACTAAAGAAGGATAAACTTCGTTATCAAGTTAATGTGCTTGATCGCCCTTCTGTTAGGTCATCAGAGATCTTCAAAGGAATCTCCATTTTCGTGAACGGTTATACAGGTAAGGAAGTAACATCAATCACCTTTGTACTGATTTCGCCTCATTTACGAGCAAATTTCTTAAAAAAGAGCCATCGAATTTTTCGTCCTCCACCTATTTCAAACTACTATCATTAGTCAGCATTTTACGCAAAAAATCTCCTCAAAAGGAAATGCTGTATGAATCGAGAAACGATAGAAAAACGCCTCATCGGTGAGCGCCCATCACCAGTGAGCTAATGACAAAAGGCCACGATGTCAAAAAGTGCCTGCAAGTTTTTGGCTTCCCTTTCTTTCTACGCTTTTTCTCTGGGTAAGTAGAGGATTTTACCTTAATTTGCTTAGGCAAAAGGCGCCAAAAAAGAGGAAGTAGTATTTTTTTGCAAAAATTTTCGCATTTGATGGCAGCCACTTGTAGTAGTACATCATCCCACCTCTCCTCTCTTGGGCTTTCACAAATGTTGCTTCAGGATTTAAGAGTGCAGTATTCACTCATACATAATGTACGTTCTAATGTTCGTCCATGTTTTAGAAGCCATCTGCTTAAATAGTATCAGTCTGGCGTGGTTATCATAAATCTAGTCATTGAGTCGGGCTCACTGTAAAGTACGTAAAATCGTATGATGATGGGAAATAATACTTGTGAAAACAGATTTTGCTGGAGGCCCTTTGCGATAGTGAATTTACAGATTAGAGATTTTCATGCGCATGCTACGTCTTATGGTTATGCATAAACTAGAGCTGATCTGCTTACTCACTTCAGTTGAAAGATATAAAATCTTGCCTAGAGCCTACTGCGCTGGAGTTACGCCAGCTGATCCAGTTACATGGCGGAGAGTATCACTGCTACTATGAATACGGTGTCACTTCTTACGTTATTGCTGCATCATTGGCAGCCGCCAAGGTAGGGCTGGATTACAGTCTCTTAAGTCTTTTTGGCGATTTTGTTCTTACTTTGACAGGAATTGTCGCAAAGTTGTAGAAGTCAGAAAAGTCTCCTCGATTTTCCAAAGCGCTTTGCCTAAAAACGATGATGTTCGAATTTTGATTTTGAGCTGTAAATTCTTTTCATGCGATATCATACTCACCATACATTGAGTATCACTCCCTACGAAAGGGCAGAATAACAGTTGAAAAAAAGAGAAACACTCTTTTTATCAATGAAATGCTCTTTGTTTTGTTGGAAGTGGTAAAGCTATACATATACTTATTATTCTTGTTTGTTTTACTTAATCCTTGAGGGTGCGGCGCGCCAGCACCTCAGAGTAGGAGTGAATCCGAAAAGTTACTGATTTGCAGACAAGGAAAATAGTAAGTGGGCTTTCTGGAAATTTTCAATCTACTTTTCAATTTCATAACGGTGGTCTCCTCTTGCATAAGGAATTAGTGCGATCGGTCTGTTTTTCGAGTTCACGGGTCCTTTTCCAAAAACTTCGACTTTCATGCTTGCCTCACGAAGAAGCAACAAATCCACTGGTAGCGTATCAAATCAACCAAATAAGTACTACATATGTTATAGTACTTATTTGGTTGATCATATGATATTTTGAAACATGTTGGGAAGGACGCAGAGGCTACAACAAGACAAATTGCATGCAAAATACAGCATGAGAAGCGATCAAAAATACGATGGAGTTGCAAAAAATTTGGAGATTTGCCAAAAAAAA